GGACAGCAGCAGTGATGGCAGTGGCTGGGATCCCCCTCCTCAACCTGCTGCCATGCTGGCAGGGATATCCTGGGGAACCAAGCAGGGAGAAAGAACCCTCCCACTGATGCTGATTGATGCTACTGCTGCTGCCACCAGCTGAGCCCGGCTCCCCTCACTGCCCAGCTGGGGCAGGGCAGGAGCAGGTATGGAGCTCTCCTCACAAGCCAGAGACAGCAGGGACAGCAGCAGTGCAGGGCGGGGGACAGGGGGGGAAGGTATGAGAGGGGAGGAAATGTCCCTGAGCATAAAGAGGAAGTGTGTGTAAGTGTAATTGAGGGGGGGGGGGGCAGGGTTCTTACCTATTTCAGAGACTTGAACAAAGTACTGGCTGATGTTCCTGCAGCATGGTCCAAAAGAGGGGGAGAGATCACACCACTTCAACCTCTCTAGATCCACCCCTGGATCAAGGACAAGGAGATTGCATCTGGCAAGAGGAGACAAAAAGTTGGCTAGTTTATCCCAGCAAAATCAAGGCTGAGAAGGTATACGATTGCTTTTTACCAATATCTTAGGAAGTTTATCAAGGAGAGAGAAGAACTATTTAACTGATGGGACAATACTGGCACAACAACAAAAAAAGTCTAAACTGGCCATGAATAAGTGTCTAACCACCAGAAGATTGGGGTTTTGGAACAAACTTCTAATAAGTGTAGTGGGGCAAGTAACCTTATGAACAGGAATATATGGTATGAATGCCCGCAAAAGTAGGTGACAGAACTTAACCCAAGAGGTCCTTCCCAGATCTATGTTTCTTGTATTCCAATTGTTATTTTTCTTGCTATAAACATCAGAAAGCTAAAACAATGTATAGATGTTACAAAAGCTGCAAATAATAATCACATAAATATTGAGAGGAGAGTATAAATGCTATAACAGACATTTTGAATTTCTCCTTTTTCTGTCACTGGTTGCATTTCTGAGAACAGTAGGACACATCCTGCTCTCAGTTATAAGAGAATAAGCCAGTAATCCAGCCATTTCCAGTTGCTTCAGTGATGCAACTTCAGATTTACCTGGCTGTAACTGAGGTCAAATGGAATTCATGGGTATTAAAGCACAGAATCTTCCAAAAAGATTGGCAAAGGTCACCATTTTTATCATTTCAAATAGAATAGCTCTTCATGTTAGTGGTGACAAGATCACACAATCAAAGGAAAGCTGAGACAATTTTCCTGTTTGATCTCAGCTCTGTGAAAATATTCCACAGTATGTTCAGTGATTCTTAGAAATTATTCCAGTCTGAGATGCTGTATTATTTCATACAGAGCAAAAATTTTTGTTTCAGTTTGTTTTTTATTTCAAGTAAGGTATCCTTCTATAGCAATATTTTGAGCAAACATTTTATTCTGCTTTGTCACAACCAAATTCCCTGGTTCTGAGATCTGCAGTATTTTCCTTTTTCCAGAATGACACCTGCTGGTGGGAGAAGCATGGATAAATTGCAGAGATTTTATAGGGTCAGCCACAGATAACCAAACATGTTCACTTATCAGTTAGAGACAGCTAATCCCTTGTGCACCATGAAGTAGTGCACCCTTGGCAATAATGATTCAGAAACTGTATATTTAACATCATAAGGAAAATGTTATACAAGTCATATAGTTTTCTAATTTTATTCACCAATGGTCCTTATTACCACCAGTTTGTTAATACAGAGAAGTGTTTCAATAGTGCCTTGATATTATAGATAAGCAATAATTTAGGCTAAACCATATCTGCTGTAGCATGGGTATGTCGGACTGAGGGGAAAGGGGACAAGAATACCCTTTCTTCCCTTCCACCTGTATGTGGAAAGAAGCCAGACTGACTTCCTCAGTGCAAGTAGGGTCAGCTGCTAGTTCTGCTGTTTGTGCTAAACACCCCAGGCAACCTGGGTTTAGGTAGGGGGTGTGTGTGTGTGTGTGTGTGTGTGTGTGTGTGTGTGCGCACGCGCGCCCACGGTCCTGCCCCTCTGTGCTCCAGCACGCTCTGGGGAAATGCAAAATATACAACATAGTAACAAGTAACATCACTCAGAGCTCCCTACCGCACCCAGGGAACAATTGTTTGATTGGCTTATAAAAGGGCAGTATCTCCAAACTGTAGTTCTTTGCCAATTCATTCTTCTTCAGGACACTCAGCTTGCCTCTGACTTTAAGGAAAAAACCTGAGCTTTTATCAATTCAAATGCATTTAGGGCAACATTTAAAAATACGCTCTAATTCTGAGTACCTTCATTTTTGGGTATCCAACTTTAGTTCCCTAAGAAAATCCTTGCAGAGAAGCTGAGCCTTCCCAGCTCAGAATAAAGATAATGATAGCTGTGGGTGCTCAGCCTTATATACCTAAAACTAAGATCCTAAAAACATAGACGTCCTAATCTGCTTACAAGATTTTTATTTGTCATGTGATTATCTACAGCTGTCAAATTTGAAGCACACTACTGTAACATAGTTTAGAATTATAGCCCTTATTTAACAAAGCAATTAAGCATGTGCTTTGCTTTATCATATGCATCCTAAAACAGAGAACAGAGTGAACAGAGGTTCGATTTCTTTTTCCAGTTTGGCCACCAGCTTGCTGATTGATTTTGGACAAAGTGTTTTACCAGCTAATTCCTGTTTCCCCATCTCCAAAATTGGAATAATGATGCTCTCTCCCTATAAGCTGAGATCTACTGATGTAAATTGCTACGTAACAATACGTATTACTATTATGTCATATTTAAATGTATGATTTCCATGGAATTACTTTTGCTCTATATTAGACAAATGCAAGGCAGTGATGTATGTCTGCATACTACAGACATTTCTACTCAGCCTCTCTCCGAAACCTAGGTCTATCATTGAAAAATACGTCCTGCCCACTTGCTTTCATTCAAGAGCAGGAGAGACCAGTAATTAGGCAGAAAAGACAGCTCAGACTGGTTTTGAGTGCACAGTCCAGGGCTGCCCTTAGACTCTCTATCTAAGGAGAGATGGGGTGGGTGGGGAAAGCACTCAAGTCTGCTCTGAGTCTCCCAGGTTTGAGCAGGAACTCCTATAAACATGGTTTGTTGTACAATTTGTGCAAGATTATGTTGGTTTGGGCAGATGCAAACTTGTATATAGAAGATTTGTTTTTGCCCTGAGATTAGCTACAGCTATCAAATTTGAAACACACATGTAACTTAGTTTAGGATAATTGCCTTTATTTAACAAAGCAATTAAGTGTATGGTTTGCTTAATCATGTGCATAAGCCATTCCTCATCATAAGCAGGTGCTTACTTTCCACCCTCTTCAATGTGATGATTCCAGAGAGACAAGGTTCTTTGGGTAAATATGATATCTTTTATTAGTCCAACTAAATAGTTGGAAAAATTGTTCTACAAGAACAATTCTAATAAAATAAAAGGCTGAGTCTGTCTGCCTGTGTGTCTTTCTATATGTCTGTAATCCTTTATGGGCAACTGTGCATGCACCGCTGAGAGGGCAGGTGGCGATTAGCTGCGCAGGCCCAAGTTTGAGCCACTGCTAGGGAAGTTTGTGGCAGTGGTGAACATGCCTCAGCCACTCAAGCAGTGGGACTTCCCCATGCCTCCCTGCCTGAGGGCAAAGTGGAGAGTCATGGTGGAGAAACCCCCCCCGTCTCCGATGCCCCCCAGAACAGCCGGCAGGGAGGGGGAAGCAGTGGGGAGGGGGAGGTGAAGGACGGGGCCACAGTGGCAGCTGTTGTCAGGGCCAGACAGCAGGGAGGGAGGCAGGGAGGGAGGGTGTAACAGGAGTGCCTCCTCGGGTCTGTCTACTGATGACCTCATCCTCCTGTTATGGGTCAGCCACCTGCCTTCTCACCTGCCACACCGTGTTGTTAAATTATTTTATAGATGGTAATTAGCGGGAGGCTGCCCATTTACTGCCCCGATGCCAGGCGGCGCTATCTGCAGCTCCTTTTCCTCCCCTACACCACAGCCCAAGCCTCTCTGTTGGTACTGACATGGTTTGGTCTGGGCCTTGTTATAATTTGGCCCCCTTGTCCTCCCTGGGCTCTCCAAGGCCCTGTCTCGCATTGCACCCTCACTGGCGCTCGGGCTCTCTGCAACCCTGTTTTTGCACTGCGTTCTCACTGGTGCTCGGGCTCTCCGCAGCCCTATAGCACACTGCACCTTCACTGGCGCTCGGGCTCTCCGCAGCCCTGTCTCGCTCTGTGCCTCACTGGCACTTGGGCTCTCCACAACCCTGTCTCACTCTGCACCCTCCCTGGCGCTTGGGCTTTCCGCAGCCCTGTCTCACACTGCGCCCTCACTGGCGCCGGGGTCGGTGTGCCCAAAATGCTACGCCCTCTCTGGCGCCAGGATCCCCATGCTGCCGTGGGTCCCCTATGAGGCCTCCTCCATCCCCTAATATCCTCACCCAAATCGCCAGTATTAAACAGTAAACAAAACACAAGCCCCGACTTGGACGAGGGAGTGAAGTGTACTCTGTCCAAGTTTGCAGATGACACAAAGCTATGGGGAGATGTGGACATGCCGGAGGGCAGGAAATAGCTGCAAGCAGACCTGGACAGGTTGGACAAGTGGGCAGAAAACAACAGAATGCAGTTCAACAAGGAGAAATGCAAAGTGCTGCACCTAGGGAGGAAAAATGTCCAGCACACCTACAGCCTAGGAAATGACCTGCTAGGTGGCACTGAAGTGGAAAGGGATCTTGGCGTCCTAGTGGACTCCAAGATGAACATGAGTCAGCAGTGTGATGAAGCCATCAAAAAAGCCAATGGCACTTTATCGTGCATCAGCAGATGCATGATGAATAGGTCCAAGGAGGTGATACTTCCCCTCTATCGGGCGCAGTTGGAGTACTGCGTGCAATTCTGGGCGCCGCACTTCAAGAGGGATG